GTGGGATATCCAGGGTGATCCAGTGTATGTGAACAGTGAGATGTTTGTGCGCTGAGGTCGCCATAGCCAATTGGGAGTGAACTCGTATCTGAAAACCATATCTCTGAGTTTTGAGTGGGCGCATGTCGCCAGTGTGCTGCGTTACTGTTTACATGTGTGAAAAGTGTGTTTGAAAACGAGTCTGATTGCAATCCCAAGAAAGCTGCAATATTTCCACATGCATGAATTTGATTTGTCCGCGCACAGCAGGCCGGCACATCCCAAATTGTGCACAGCTGCATTTTGGTGAGGTACTGGTTTGGTTTTGAAGCTTGGATGCAAATCAGCTATAAGATTCCCTATTTTATATATACAAATATAATTGAAATATTATACATTCATGATTCATGAGGTAATGGATTTTCTTTAGGATCAAAATTTTTCCTTCCTCAGTGCTGCCGTGTTTCGTTCCATTCCCCTTTGCAGATTTTGGTGGTTTCCTTAATGTACGACATTGTACGTATCTTTCCTAACGGATGGGTGTTAAAGACTGCGGTAGTACGCCCTTAAACTTGTGTCTTCACCCGAATAGAACGCGCGGTTATTATAGCTGTATCGGGACTGAAAAGCACACCAAATGAGGCTATAATGATCGGGCGTTCTATTCGGGAGAAGACGGTAGTGTCTCTACGAGTGCATTATCACCTATACCCTCTCTTGCGCGGGAATTCAGGAAGTCTAGAATATTGTCTTTGCTGAGTGGTGGCGTGAAGCAATGTCGGACGCGGATGTCGCATGACACAGCACAAGTCACACGGCACCAGCAGGCGGTGAGCATGCGAAGACGATATCAAGAAGGAAGTTGTCAAATGGACGTGGCATGCCACATCACAAACACATTCGCAGAGCAGAACATACCACTTGTCTCTAAAGTCCTCCAGAAAGGAAGGGAGCAGAGCAGAAGAAAAAGAAAAAGAGCAGAACATACCGCTTGCTTGTACAGTCCTGCATATGCCTGGAGAGAAGGGTCCAGATCCTTCAATGGCCAGCTTTCCACAAACAGGCTCAGGCGGAGCATTCCGCATTCTCGAGCCGCTGCAGGCGGTGAGCATGTGAAGACGATATCGAGCTCCGACCTGAAACCATGTTTCTGACACATTCCATCACATTACATTGATTAGAAAATGGAGAACGCAATAATGGATAAACGACAGGAAAAAAGAACAAGGAAGGAAAAAGTTTGAAAACAAATGAGAGAGAACGAAAAACAGTTTGTGCAGTTTGTGACATTCTGACACAGGACTTCACAATGTATGCATCAGGATGAAGATCGGACTACAAATGACAATCAAGAGTTGTGGTTCGAACAGACTGTTTTTTGAGAGAGCTGATCTCGTCACATTGCATTCTCACTCACTTGTTTTTTATTTTTTTTAAGAAGTTACAGAATTGCATACCTGTGGACCGCCAACCGTTTTGCAGCCGAACAGTGGGGCCGACCAGTCGGGGTCTGCCAACCAGTCAGAAAACAGCCA